GCATATTTGTAATGTTAATGAGCTCTCCTAATAGTCCCTACACATCTATGAGTAGATCATGATGGTTAAGAAGGGAGTGACTACGATGAGCATAGTGGAGTCAGCAAGAAGGGAATTTCACTAAATAGGTTTGCATAAACCTACATTCAGATAGGCGTTTTTCCTACCAATGGTTGCAATATGCTTTCGCTCGATCTGCCTCTGTAACAGGAAGGACACTGACTTCGGCACCTGTGTCAACCAAGTGCCGAGTCTTTCTGATTACGTCGCGGATGTATAGTAGTTTGCTACTGCCACCGGCAACGGATGGCACTAGCACGTACCAGTTGGGTAGTTTCCTATCATCTTCGAGTCACGGCCGAAATTGCAAGGTTTTTGGCAGCGTTTCGGTTCTTGGCCATAGGTATTATGATAGCAACACCAGCAAGGGATTTTAAGTGAAATTGGCTTGGATTTTGATCAACCACGTGAGTTTCACAGTTGAGGGGAATTCGGTCGATAGTAGGAGGAATTGCGGGGATTTTTTGACCTAAGTAGCTGCTTGATGGAGTTGCACAACTCTGTCACTGCAGTGTCGGTACTCAAGGACTGTTTAATAATCGATCACATTTCAGTGACTCACCGTTATGTTATTTCTAGAATTTTACCTGCAGAAGTAGTTAAATCATCTATTATAAGACCGTGAAGTGTCACGGGCACAGCCTGTACTGACTGTGGCAATTTGGATAAAGACAACTTCCTGAAGAGTCCCTCGTCGAACTGACGTTGGCCACTAACTCCCCGTATTCTTATTAGCATATACACAGTCAACTGATCACCCAACTCGACGTTGCGGAATAGTTCGTAAAGACGCCGCTGGTCCGTGAGGGCTGCTTTAATCATCCCATAGGGGTTGTTTATCCCTGGGCTAGATATTTGCACAGTGCGGAGTCCGCTTGATCCCCGCGGGAGGGCATGGAAGGTAGTTCCGTAACTACTTATTCCAATAAACATTTTTCCACGATATAGCGACATCCTGCTGATTTTTACCCCTTCAAGTTTTAAATGTTTTTGAAGTAACAACAGTTTATTTGATGTTCAAACACCTGATTCCCCACCATTATTTATTGGCTGTACTAATAATGAATTGTGTGTAAGCCCTTCAGACTATCAGATATTTGCTCAGTGTCCCACCCGTTCCCATTATGTATAAAAAGGATGTTCGAAAGATCCGTCTGGCGGATCTGGTGAAAGGTCCCGTAGACCTCCTCACTAGCTAGAAATCGATGGGTCTCAATGTTATTTGGATCCTCTCTCGAGAAGATACTTCAGGGTTGCATCATCTTCCGTGGAGTTTGAGCAGTAGTCACCCATTATTTGCTTCAAGTATCCTCCTCCTGCATAAAAATTGGAGAATACGCACGAAAAAGAGTCAGTGTCTAGGGTGTGCTTCATTTTAATATGGATCGCTCATATGTACAAGCAAGGAAAAGATTTCGATGGCGTTTCTAAATCAGTCTTTCTTTCTTTGGATAAAATGACCCAAAATAGTTATGTCCGGCAGAGTGAATGGCGATACAGGGGCTTTTAGCCAGAGCTCAGATAATAGTAACAATAATAATATCTATGTTGGACACACCAGTGTTACAGGCGTAGATAAGTATTATTTAAATTACATAAATTTGGTTTATGGAGAAATTACATGGTTGCTGTCTTTCTTGTCGTTGGTTTATGGGAAGAATGTGATAGGTAGTTATTCTACGGACCACATCAAGAAATATAGAAATATTGTCCTCGCATCAACAAAAAACCCAAGTGTGTTTTGAATGGATTACAAATACTTGGGGAAAAACGAAGCCTGAAGTCGTTTCCCCTTGTAGTGAGAGCATACGATCATGTGAACCATGTAGAAGCCGTGCTGCGACGCATCGAAGAGTTTGGACCACGCGTCAAAAAACCAAGTCTCATATAGCCAAAAGAAATGTTACTCTGTTGGGACATAAGGTGGGAAATGGTGAGATTAAACCACTACCAGAGAAAATGTTGACGATAAAAACGATCCCCCTCCCCGAATTCAGAGAGAAAATTGAGACAATTCTTGGGTAGAGCAGCGTTTTATAGTCGATTCGTGAAGAACTTCAATGAGATAGCAGCCCCTCTGTACAGGCTACTAGGTAAGCCGAAGTTTGTTTGGTCGGAGGAATCGCAGAGGACATTCGACAGAATTAAATAGCTGCTCTACCACCAACCAATGACACTAAAACTAACTATACCTGGAAGACGGTTCACAGTGTGCACAGATGCCAGTGACTACGCTATAGGTGCGGTCCTAAGACAGAGTGAGGGAATCGTTGAGTATGCCAGCCGGGTTTTGACACACAGAGTGAAAGTATTCAACGACAGAGAAAGAATGTTTAGCAATGGTATGGGCAGTCAACAAATGAAGACCCTATTTACTCGGCTGGCGGTTCCACATCGAAACTAATCATAAGCCACTACAGTTTTTGAAGACAGCGAGAGACCCACGGGGGAAATTGTCAAGGTGGATGTTGCATCTTCAGGAGTACGATTTTAAGATCTTACACTTTCCTGGAAGTGAAAATGCATACGGCACTCTGACCTGGTGAGAGAACGACGGAAGCTGGCCGGCTATCATATCTCAATGGTCGCGCCATGACATGATAGAAGAATGTCACCAGCTAGCACATACAGGCGTGGCCAGAACAACCGACCTCCTAAGGCAAAGTATGTACTGGCCAGGTATGAGAGAAGACGTGGCAAGATGTGTACTTGAATGTTCACGGTACCTGCTAATATTTTTTTATTTTTATTTTTTAGTTTTGATTACAGCTTGATTCCACACTGTATTTTTGGTACAAGTATGGAATTTTCAGCGTGGATATCGGTAGCCCAAATTTTGCAGGCCGACCATAGATATCAGGTGTGCGTCGGTGGGGATCGAACCTCGGACCATGTGCGTGGTCAGCGAGAGTCCTAACCACTATGCCACCGACGCACAATAAAAGGTGACAGGTACATACGACCACCGCTTCAGTCGATTCCAGTTACGGCAATAGGTGATTTGTGGTCGGTAGTTGTCATGGGTCCGTTTCCTCAGACATCCAGTGGTAATCAGTACCTTTTGATGATGACACGATGATGTCGATGAGTAGACGCCGCAGCAATCCCAGACCTACATGCAGGGACCGTGACAGATGCAGTAGTTAGACACATCGTTGCAGACCACGGCGTACCAAAGACAATACTGACAGAACAAGGTCCCTGTTTCGAAAGGGAAGAGTTTACTTCCCGTTTGCAACACCTGGGCATTAAGAGGATCGAAACGACCCCATATCATCCACAAACGAATGGCCTAACGGAGAAAAACAACCGTACGCTGAAGGAGTGGCTGGCCTCGGAGGGCTGTAACTGGGAAACGGAGCTTCCGCAGATTCTACTAACACATCGTGCTACCACTCAGGAAACAAAGAAGAAGTCACCATTTCAACGGGTGTATAGTGCCGAACCACGGTTACCGACACCAAAAGTGGAGTTCGACGAAGTTACAAGTAGAGCTGAAAGAAGCAGTCAAGAATGTAATGCAGAAGCAGTGGAGTGGTGTCGCGAAGTATAAGCTGAAAGGAAAGACTCAGTGCATTACCTTTGCAGTCGGAGGCCAAGTGAAGTGTACAGACAGAAGATATACAGTTGGGGCCAGGCTCACAGAAACTCCTTCCAAAGTGGAAGGGCCATACACAATCACAAAATGGTGGAGTCAAGTATGCACCATCTGAAGAGGTGACAAACAGAAACGAGTTAATGCCAGTCAGCTCCAACGATATTTGTATATATATATATATATATATATGTTTATATTTGTCGTACATTGCCATCTAGTAAGCATATATACTTATTTATACTTAGTGTTGTTATACATCTGTGACTTGTTTATTTATCGTTTATAGAGTAATCATGGAAGTTTTGCGCGTTGTTTAGGTACTGTGGTTAACTAATAATTGATTCGTTCCATAGATAAATAGTTTGTTAATGCAATCAGTAGAGTGAAGCAGTCTGTATAGAGAGCGTTTGAAATTTATAACCAAGGTACATGTCCTGATATCTAGGGGCAGACTGTCTCATAGAATACATGACTGTGAAGAAGTTTAGGCGGGGTGTTGATTTAAGGGCTATTACCGTCACTGTGCAAGTTTGGTTACGCAGATCGTAAGGGCCTTCCGGTGAGAAATGTATGCCCCTTTTGTCTGAGAATGATATTTTGTGTAGGACCTTAAAGAAGAATACTAGGTTTTTAATAAGTTGTCCCGTCCAAAGTGGGCCAAGATTTAGAATCATGCACTGTGAGATGTCGTCTTTCTTACAATCGTAGCCAATTAGTTCGGAGGTGAGATATCGTTGGATATTTTCCATCCTCAGCTTGTCACATATGTGAGTGCTGCCAATAATAAATGGATAGTATTCTGGTAGTGGCATTACACAGGTTTTGCATAGAATGGGCTTGGCTTAGTTGTTGTGAAAGTTCCTGAGTTTGCATCCTAAGAGCATCCTCGACTTTCGAGTCTGTGATTCCAGTTGCTCAGAAAATGTTAGGTCACTAGAGTACCTCAAGCCTAAGTCAACGACACTTCGGAGTCTGGGTAGGTTAACAGATGCAAGCACTAATTTTATATCGATTGAGGGTGCGCTAAAGCAGACGCAACCACATTTGTTCAGATTGAATTATAGATTCCATAAGGATGACCAAGCAATCACTTTATCTAATTCATTTTGTACAACATTCTGGAAGCACCCTACGTCATCACACTGGAATGCACAAACCTGCAGAGATGAATGGTGTCTCATGTGAGAAGCAAGAGTATATGTCGTTCAAATAAAGTGTAAATAGGAGGGGCCCAATGACACTACCTCGAACTACACCAGAAGTGATCGGGCTAGGTTTGGAAGTTACAGACTATTTGGGACCATTTTTTAGGTATGATTTAAGTCATCCTAATAGTGGGCCGCGTATTCCTAGGGAGTTCAGCTTATGTATTGGCAGCAAATGGCTGACGCAGTCAAATGCCTTAGAAATGTCGAGGTAGATGACAAGTACTAGTTGTCGTCTGTCACGACTACTAGTCTCAAAATCAAAGAAGTCTAGGTAGCATGTTAAACAAGATCTGAATTTCAGGAATCCATGTTGGTTAGGGCTTACAATGCTGCGATTAAACGTATGCTTGAGTAGATTATCTTTAACTAGTCTCTCCATAATTCCGGATGCGATAGGTGTGATATTAATCGGCCTGTAGTTGTTGACTTCTGTTTACAAACCAGATTTGTGTTTAGGCATAATAAATGCTGTTTTCCATATATCCGGGTACGTTTGGGTTGCTAAGGTCATCGTGAAGATTTTAAGTAATAGTAAAGGAATTTCAGAGCCACCATGTTTATTAAAATAAGATGATATACCATCAGTGCTAAAACCTCTCGAGCTTTTGAGGGTCCTCATAGTTTGGTTAATGTTAGCATAAGTGAATTCAACTGTAATTTGTTTTTGTGTAGGCAAAGATGGAAGTTGCGCCATATTAGTAGTAGGGTATACACCGAATAACGGGATTGTAGGCTTAAGGCAGTTAGCTGCAAATGTTTTGTTGAATAATTCACATATGTCTGCAGAATCAGTGCATAGCCTCTCTTTTTCCATGAGGAGAGAAATACTGTGAGTTTTGCGATTAAATTGCAGGGCTGACTAGTGCGGCGCGTTCTTCATTTCTCATACACAAATCTCGAGATTGTGAGATGGAACTAAGGGCGTTTGTCAATGTAGTTGAAGATTGAACGATCAATTCATGGTTGTTTCCTCAAAATCAACTTCCCCAATTTTCGCGGAGGCATCAATACGACAGTCATCGTCTCATCGGTCGCTGTTCAGAAAGAAGTCAGCAGTAAACCATCAGAAGTAATCTTGTGATTTATTATTGTAATATTTGTTCACAGACCTTAGTAGAAACATTATTTTTATCTGTTGGTGTAACAATAAAGAATCCTCGAGTCACCAGTCGGTGTTTTGGTTTTTGCGTCCGTTATTACTAAGCGTTTCTGAGAAGCTTCGAGGAACAGCGTGAGTCCCAGCGTAGCAAGAGCTGGGCATTAACGGTTTATGAGACGTGGCTGACAGTTTCTGACGGTAGAAACAGATCTGGCGGATTCAAACAGTTGGTGAAAGTTTGGATAGTCACCGTTCATCTTTCCTGGTGCCGGTCAAGTCTTCTTTGAACAAGCAATATCTGCAACTTTTTCGGAATTGGTTCAAGTTCAACAATGCCTGGGTCAAAGAAGGGACAGAGTGTCTTGGATGCAAACAGGAAAGTAAGTCATGGTGAATTGTCTGTTACTTGTAACGATGTGTCTGATGTTAAACATGACATGATTGATGTTACTGTTTCGCCGTGCAGGGATAATAGGAACATCAAACTCCCTAAATTTGAACCACGGTGTTTCGATGGAAACCCGGCTGATTATTTACAGTTTGTAAAGTAGTTTGAGATTGTGCTGAGTAGTTTTCTATTAAGTGATGAAATGAAATTGATGTATTTGATGAGGTATTGCACTGGAGATGCTTCAAGAGCTATACAGTGCTGTGAGCTCATGCCCCCTAATGAGGGATACGCTGAGGCTATGAGCATATTATGTCAAAGGTTTGGAAGACCTTCAATGATTGTAAGGAACGTATACGAAGCTGTCAGAGGTTACGGCAGTCAGCTTCAAGATGACTCCAAGGCACTCACTGAGTTTTTAGATAATCTTATGACTTATAAGAATACCTTGATTTCGATGAGTTGCATGAGTGACCTCAACTCGAGTTTTACACTAGAAGTAATAGCAAGACGCCTACCTACTCGACTGCAAAGGAAGTGGGTGAAGATAAGCTCCCGTATGGAGGATGAGGGTATCGAGCCAAAATTTGATGATATCCTGAAACTAGTAAAAGATAGTGTCAATCAATCTATGAGCAAGTTTGCCAGTATATTAAATCTCACCCCTACAATAGAGCAGTCTGAGGGTAAAATGCAATCATTGATGACGAGTAGGCCTCAGAGAGGTGGATATCGAGAAGGCTCTATGGTGTCTAGTAATGCATATAGGCCTAGTGAGTGTAACAGGTTTCGTGGCACATCCTCAACAGATAAGTTACAAGATGCAAGACAAACACGGTTGTGTTTTACACGTTTGCAAGAAGTGCATACAAAGATGAACTGTGAATCAGTGAGCAAGTTCAGTGATAAGCTAAATGTAAACTCCAGGCCTTACTCCGAATTGTGTGACGATAATGGCGCGGTGAAGAAGCTTGTAGTTGCAACTGGTAAGCCATTGTTGAATAGAGTGTCACAGAATAGAGTTACTGCTTCGGAGTCCAGTTCTGACTCCGCCAGTTTACAAGGTATTACTAGTCAGAGTGAAGTTATAAAACCTTTAAGGATTTGTGAGGAGGAACCAAAATTGTCTACTTCTGTTATTAAAGAGTTTGAAAATGAAGTTGATGGTAAAGTGAATATTCGTGATAATGATCATGATACTCCACAGTTGTCTTTGGTTGATCATGATGAAATAAGGAATATGCCTACTACTGCTAAGTTGAACAAAGGTTCTGTACAACTTGAACGTGAAGTGGAATTAAATGCAGATACAGTTGCAGAAGGCATGCATACTTGTCAGACCGTCAGTGTAAGTGATCAGCATGTAGCCCACCTATCATCAGATGCTAGTGCTAAACCTGAGCTGATAGTAAAAGACAGCAGTGGTGGTGGTCTTGCAGGTAGACAACTTTCTGAAAGTCGAGCAACAACAGCTTTTGATCCACCGCTAACTTCATCAACTGATATCAATCAGTCGTCGTTGGTGCTGTCATCCACAATGAAACAGACACCCATGAACTCAAGTATCTTGTGCAATGACTATGCTAGTATCAGTTCGTTTGAAAGGACGAATATCAATGGTCAGTTTAGTGTGGATAAGCCAAGTGTAAAGGAGAGAGTAATTGTTAAATTGACTTGCATGAATAAAGGCATTTCAAGTTTCAAGTTACTATTTGAATGCTATTATCTTTGGTGTAAATTACTCTGTGCCTACGCTTGGTTGACCAGATACTTCGTGTGTTTGTTGGTCATCTATATTCTACGATACAATGACATGGGCGTGTTACGGTTCAGATTTGAGGATACAGATGATAGGAGGAAATCAGCAAATGAACTCTGCGACGATTTTCCAACCTAGGGCGTCAACCTGAGAAGGAATGTAGGCGTACTGCTGTAAGTCCTACAATTCTTCAAAGGGTAGCGCATCAATGAGCAGTCCAATGTGCTTGGTGTGTGATTTTGTACATATGTTCATATTGTATATACTAAATTGATATCATCTGTCATCTAGCTGTTGGTAATTCTGTTTCTGTCCGGACGACTTCCACTTGGATCATCAACCTGAGAAGGAATGTAGGCGTACTGCTGTAAGTCCTACAGTTCTTCAGGGGTAGTTTGTCGTGCCAGAATCCACCATTTTGATGTGTTGATTGCACTTATGTTTGTGTTAAACAATTGTGTGAGTTCCAATTATTGTAATTGTTGGTTAATCTTGTGTGTGTCCGGACATTCCACAACTTACAATCGTCAACGTGAGGAGGGTTGTAGGCGTACTGGTGTAAGTCCTGCGATTCTTCAAAGAAATTCCATCGAGATACGATCTGCGAGTTTGTGTGTATTGTTTGTATATACGTGTGGTGTGTCATATCAATTGGTGTTTTTGAATTCATTGTGTTTACTCGTTGTTTTCGTACCTTGTTGTTATTGCATAATTTTGTTAAAATTTTCGTCGTGATTACTTCTGAAGTTGTTTCTAGTCTTCTACATCCGTGAATGAAGTGATTGATATTAAAGACAGCAGATAGGTCGTATACACCGGGGAGACTAGGCTATTGCTGAGAATGAAATGCACACGGAGATAATTGTTAGCTGTGGTCCCACACGCCGGGGAGAAAGAGTGTAAACGACTGAGGCTCGCATACGTCACCGTTACTAGAATTGAGACAGAATGAGTGACAAGAGATTTCAGTGGTACTTGGTAGTGAGCAGATAAGAGGATGAGCGTAGATTATCGTGAGGTGCTGCTATGGTCAGGTTGCATTCTGCAAGAGTCATTCTAGCAAGTGGCGATTGTGTTGCAAGAGGATACTGTTAATGGAGTTGAAGATTGAACGATCAATTCTTGGTTCAAAATCAACTTCCCCAATTTTCGCGGAGGCATCAATACGGCAGTCATCGTCTCATCGGTCGCTGTTCAGAAAGAAGAGTGAAACATCGTCAGAAGTAATCTTATGATTTATTATTGTAATATTTGTTTTCAGACCTTAGTTGCTTAGTTCGTTTATTCCTTTTATATGTTGGTGTAACAATAAAGAAATAACAAGCAGCAGATCGGTGTTTTGGTTTTTGCGTCCGTTATTACTAAGCGTTTCTGAAACTCAAAGGAACAGCGTGGGCCCGAGCGTAGCGAGAGCTGGGCATTAACGGTTTATGAGACGAGACTGACAGATGCCTTTAACTGGAAGTCGCAGGTCGTCATTGATGTGTGAGATTATGCTGTGAGTATGCTTGTGGTGTGTTGGCTTTTCTGTTTGTTTTCCATTTCAGCTCTTTCCATGTGACCCAGGTTCTCGCAATGCCATCCAAGTCAACGTGTATTGGTCGTGAAGAAAAAAGGTATGGATCCCTTTTTTGCCGGGGAGTGTCAATGGAGTTGAAGATTGAACGATCAATTCATGGTTGTTTGCTCAAAACCAACTCCCCCAATTTTCGCGGAGGCATCAATACGACAGTCATCGTCTCATCGGTCGCTGTTCAGAAAGAAGTCAGCAGTAAACCATCAGAAGTAATCTTGTGATTTATTATTGTAATATTTGTTCACAGACCTTAGTAGAAACATTATTTTTATCTGTTGGTGTAACAATAAAGAATCCTCGAGTCACCAGTCGGTGTTTTGGTTTTTGCGTCCGTTATTACTAAGCGTTTCTGAAAAACTGCAAGGAACAGCGTGGGCCCGAGCGTAGCAAGAGCTGGGCATTAACGGTTTACGAGACGTGGCTGGCAGCGTTAGGTAATAAACCTAGTGTGCTATTGCCATGGTGTTTGAAGTAACTTGTCGAGAGTTTCTTTAGTCTCGTAAGACCCTTTGACTTTGTAAATGACTATCTATGTGGGGAAACCTTTGGTGCTTAGAGTGGAATGGTAGCATCTAAGAATGGTTCTGGTGGAAGATGCTCAGAGCTCTCTAGACGTCACCACTAGTGAAATACTCACCCCATTCAGAGGATCCTAACATTGATTCTACGAAATCCCCGTTCGCCTTGCTATAGTTTCTATATATAATAATAATTGATGTTTCGTATAAACAGGTAAGTTTACAAGAAACGCATGCCATTTTTACAGGCATGATCAGTAATGTTAAAAAATTAAGATCCTGAAGTATCACAAATTAGTACTTTTTTCAAAAGTTTAAATTCTTCAGTTATTGTACAAGCAATCAGAACAGGTTCTTATAAATATTGAATTGTAAACCGTTTCCTAAGGTCACCATCAAAGCTGAGCGACAACCCGAACTTCGTTCCGTTTCCTGCTGATAGTTATGGTCAACCAGTAAACAGCATATGTCTGGGTGGGTGCTACTCCGCCACGTGATTGAACGCTATTTCAGGAAGAGAAAAAATTCTGCGCAGCTTCAAAATGGTATAAAATGCAATTATGAGTCATACATTATTGGAAGTATATTTACAAGATAAATTCAAGAAGAAGAAGAAGCTATATCGTACTTGAAATGATAGTATACATTTGTAATGTTTAAACTTAACCATAGT